TTCCGGTACTCTGGACTATTTCCAGTCTTGCCTACATGCACGGTCTAACACAAAATTACATGCAAACTAACATGCATTAGATAAAAAAATGTATTAATGCTCAAGATTATATCAGCTTCGTCAACAGATGTGACAGTGGACATTTTGTAACGATATTTTCTTTTAATGATTCTCGTCAGTTCTTCATAATCTGATCGGTTTTGCAAGAAGGGAAATTACTGCTTAGTGCTTACACAACTTTGGGATTAATCCACACACCATATTCATCTTGAAGGCTCCTGATGGAGGTACATATGGTATCGTATTTGTCCATTTTCCACACAAAAGCTTGAGAAAATTCTCTCCAACACTGACAGTCCATGATTGTTAGTCATGAGCAGGGTTTCCTTACCTCCAATTACCGCGGTAACCAAGCTTACCACTGGGGTAAGGTAATGGTAAGTGTCCAATAACCCTACCAAGTTTTTAAAAAATCTAAACGAAAATATAAATATTTTATAAATTATATCCGGTTTCCCCCCTATTCACGGTGGTAACTGCACGCTTACTAGGCTTATCGCTAGGGAATGGTAACCCCTCCTCACCAGGTAAGCTAAACCCTAGGCATGAAACTATATGGTAACCCCTCGTCCCCAGGTAAGGTAAACACGTGGTGGAAAATTATCATACGGAGTAGCCAATAACCAATCATCCATTTTATGTGTTATTCATCATTAACGGTATTTTGTACCTACAGCACTCTACACTGAAAAAATATAGCAGCAAAGAACTCCCAGTAGTTTGCACATTGCAGAGTAGTACACCTTACAACTTCCCAACTGAACACTGAAAATACATCATCATATCACTGGGAGAATAGCATATAGTACATATGGTTTGGGACTTGGGAGTGTATCGATTATGAAAATCTGCAATAATAAAAGGGGTAGAGCACAGATCTAACCTTTAGTTAGATAATCAGCTAGTTGTTCACATGACTTAATATACTCTAGCCTAAGCACCCCACTATCAATATTCTCCTTAATGAAGAACCTATCAATCTCCACATGCTTAGTGCGATCATGTTGAACTGGGTTGTTTGCAATGTTGATGGCTGATTTATTGTCACAATGAAGCATCATAGTATCACTTCTTAACACTCGGAGTTCAAACAACAAACTCCTCATCCACAGCATCTCACTCAAGCCCAAAGCCATTACTCTGTATTCTACTTCTGCGGTAGACTGAGCCACCACTGCTTGCTTCTTGCTTTGCTAAGAAACAAGATTACCACCAACAAACACACAATACCTTGATGTAGACCTTCTATCATCCATACTACTCGCCCAATCAGCATCACAATATCCTTCCATGTTTAAGTGTCCATTCTTCCTGAACCACAACCCCTTTCCAGGAGTCCCTTTCAGATATCTAAGAATCCTATGAACAACATCCAAGTGACCAGTTCGAGGATCATGCATATACCTACTCACAACACTAACCGCATAGGAGATATCATGTCTTATATGGCAAAGATAGATCAAACGTCTCACCAATCTTTGGTAAGCTTCCTTATCAACAGGATCACCTGATTGAGAACACAATTGGTGATTCCTATCAATAGGCGAAGTACTTGGACGACACCCAAGCATTTCTGTATCTGTCAACAGGTCCAAAACATACTTCCACTGAGAGAGAACAATCCCCTTTGATGAACGAGCAATCTCAATCCCAAGGAAGTAGCGAAGGAGACCAAGGTCCTTCAACTCAAATGTCTTTCCCGACCTTTCCTTCAGGCACCTGATTTCTTGTACATCATCACCAGTGATCACTATATCATCAACATATACAGCCAAGATGGTGATGTGTGCTCCCCTATGTTTATAGAAGACTGTGTGATCTCCATCACATTGAGAATACCCCATACCACACACCGCATGCCTGAACCTATCAAACCATGTGCGTGGAGACTACTTCAACCCATACAAGGATTTCTTGAGTTTACATACCTTTCCAACTGTCTAACTATTCCCAAATCTTGGAGGAATCTCTATATAGACCTCCTCTTGTAAATCACCATAAAGAAATGCATTTTTCACATCAAGCTGATGAAGGGGCCACCTAAAGTTTACCGCACAAGATACCAAAACTCTCATTGTGCTCATTTTTACCACCGGTGCAAATGTCTCATCATAGTCAATTCCATATGTTTGACTATAGCCTTTTGCGACTAATCTTGCTTTATACATATCCACCTTCCCTTCAAGAGTTTGCTTCACTGTAAAGACCCACTTACATCTGACTGCCTTTTTTTCTGGTGGAAGTCTTACAAGTTCCCAAGTCTTATTCTTCACAAGGGCATTAAACTTTTCTTTCATTGCATCTTTCCACCTTGGATCCTGCTTTGCACACTTCCAATCCTTCGGTATGGGCACTATCTGTAATGATGGAATGAATGTTTTGTATGTTGGTGAAACATTGGAATATGAGATATAGTTTGCAATGTCATGCATAGAACTAAGATGCTCAAAACCACGTATAGGAGGTCTACCAACATTGGATCTAGTCTCTCTACGTTATGCAAGAGGTAATTCTACTTGTTCAAGAGTTGGAGAAATATTACCAATTGTCTCAAGAGGAGCCAAGGTGGCTGGAGGTGAGAGGCTCTGGGAGGATTCTGGGACTGGGCACTCTGGGTGTGGTAACTCTTCAACATGATCTTGCACTAACTTTTTTCTTTTTTCCCCCTGACTATTGAACCGCCTCCTTTGGTAAACTAGCACATCCTTTTGTTTCACCCTTTTGGCTCGCTCCATAGGACATGGAATTGTCCCAACAACCACTTCTCCATCCTCCTCATGAAGAACAATTTCTCTATCCTTGTCTTGTGTAGCTTCAATAACTTGCACTACTTCTTTACTCACATCATCAATAGAGCATGGTATTGATCCAACCACCACTGCCTCTCCATTCTTGCTAGATTAGATTAGCTTAGGCATCCACCACCCTGAAAATTCAGTCAACGGCTTGATTGTCTAGATATCATGTTTCTTTTTATACTTAGTGCTGCATCAGTGCATTCGACCTACTAAGTCGTGTTTAGAACCATGACCTCTAGCCTGCTTCTTGATTGTTAATAGGGGTAGCATCAGAGTTTCAGCCGATCTTACCTAATATACATGCTTCTTTATTTGTTTCATGTATATTTGCCATTTATATAGACAGATCACCTAATAGTAATATATCAAGTTCAGGTCATATCGGCTAGGCTATCAATATTGACTATTGACCACTATTTGATATATGACTATAGATTGATTTGCCTATATAGATCTGTACTAGAGTATTAGCTAGTACATTATCTTTCTTACTCTAAATATTGTTCCATCGGCTACTTTGATAATATTGTCTTAAACATCTTTGTCAAATCTGATAAACGGTATTACAGCCGATGAGCCATATTTAGGGTTTAATATTCACTTATATATCCAGTCCATAGCCAATTTGGTCCAACTATATTGGTTGAGACCACCAACGATACGCTATCGGCCGATCGGCTATCAGCTATACTTTGCTTTTCTCTTTCTTGCTGATCGCAGGATCAAATCAGCTGGCACGTCCTTGACACACTCGAGGCTAGCCTTGGACCTGTACTAGAGTTAAGCAGATCTCCCAGGCCACTGTGTTTCCACATCAACACAGTCTCAACCTCATCTCCTCCTACACCATTGCTGAAATAGCCTCTTCCATAAGTGGCAATGTAGCTTGGTGGAACATAGTTGTTCTTCTATCCTCAAACTCCTTGTTCAGCCCCTTCAAGAAATGAATGACTCTTCGCCTCTACATCCAGTTATTTCCGATCACAATATATGTCATCCTCACGCTTCAACTGTAGGGGATCATAGTGATCAAGATCTGCCCATAAGTGCTGCAACTCACTAGCGTACTCTTGGACTGTTCTCCCCTCTTGCTTCAAATTCTCTACTTTGTTCTGAGCCTCAACCATCATCATTACATTTCCCTCTCCTGAATACATGTTGCTCAATGTCGTCCATACTATTGTTGCATTCTGAATAGTTTCTATCATCCTACCAATGGAATAGCCACCGAGATCATCAACCAAGATACCACAGTGGAATTTGTTGTATTCCACGTCCTCCACGCTTAGCTCTCCTTATCAGAGGGCTCTTCCAACTCTCCTGCAAAAAGTGATTCACAATGTTGAGCTCTCCTGCACCAACTCAAATAATTTTTACTCCCTTCCAACCTCAACTCATTTGGCATCAATTTTAGCTTCAATTCAGACCCTCCTGCTACATTCCTTGGACCTATCATGCCCATCTTCAGCAAATCCTCTAGCAAACCTTTCATATCACCTTTAGTAATAAGCGAGGAAGTATCCACAACCTCCTTTCCAGCTTACGAAGACACTTTTCCCTAGCTTCTTCTTCGCCACAGTCACAGGGTACAAGGAGGACCAGGCTTCAATCCCTTTCCCTTCACCACAACACTTTCAGCTATCTCTACTCCTAACCTTAGCCCTACTACGGATCGATTTTCCTACTCAGAAGCTTTCCTCCTCTTCCCTTGCACCACCAGCTCGGATCCCCTCCTCCGCTTCTCTCACACGCGTGCGGCATGCGTGCCTCCGTGGTCAAGTATGTACCGCTCCGTGCACGCCTCCTCTGCGCCAGCCCACGCAGGCACCGCGTGCCTATGTGGACCTGCCGCCTCCTTTGCGCGGTCCAGGCGTGAGCACACGTGCCTCCTGTGGACCCGCCGCCTCCTCTGCTCCAGCCTAGCGTGGCCCACGCCTGCCTCACCCCGTGCCTGCCTCGTTCGCCTGCTCCGCCGCCGCTTTTGCACGCGCCTGCCTACGTGAGTGGGGCGCGGTGAATCGTGCCCCCACCCCTGCTCAGGCAGCCCAGCACAACGGCGCAGCTCACGGGCCCTTCACATCAACAAATCGAATCGGAGGAAGATCACTGGTGAGCTTGGGTTTCTTGGCTCTGATACCATACTGTTTGATTTGGGGATTTTTCTCAGGGTATGTTCCCCTACACACCCCCTTCCTCCTTCTAATTCTCTGAACATTTTACAAATAGACCCTAGGAACATCACATATTTACAGCAACATATTATATGGTTATATTCAACTGAGACTCTAGGCCCTACCATAGAACACAAGGTAACATTGTGATAGAGTCCTACTCTATTACATAATACATGGATCCGACTTAGTAAGATATGCAGGCCGTGCAGGTGCCTGGTACCCATATTCTCAACAGATTGACATCATTCAGAGTTGAGCATGAGAGGCTGCAGAGACAAAGGAGCCATCCTCCACCCTGATGGGAGCATTGTTCTTCAAGAAGTCTGAGTACCAGCTAGCAGAGCGTCTCGGCTGCCTTCTCCGTTCTGTGCTGCCGAAATCGACAGCAACAAGTCCATAATGCCAACTGTTATACCCACCAAATATCTCGTAAATATCTATGAATGACCACATGGAGTATCCCTTCACATTCGCACCATTCCTGCGACGATCAATCAGTTAGTCGTTCACTAGTAAGATCTATGAGTGGCATCTTGTGATTATAGTTTCAGATTTGCACCAAAAAAGAGTTGATGGAAATATTCTACTAGAGATAGAGTAGAATCAGTGGAACATAATTCTTAAGCACCTGATGGCTTTCAGTGTGGCTGCTATGTATTTTTGCAAATAGTTGATCCTCTCCACATCATCCAGGGTTCCGTCTGGTGCTCCACTGCCTGATGCAATGCCAGGTGAAATTAATGACAGAATTAGAGATAGAAGTAATATTTCTGGACATTAAATTTGACAATTGAGATTATGCCATACAGATTATTGAAGGACTACTGACCATTTTCCTGAATATAAATCGTCAAATTTCCATAGTTTTCTCGAATATATTCAAGTGCATTCTCCAGCCCTTGAGGATCTACAGTGTTTCCTGGTAGAAACTGAGCAACAAGCAAAACCATTTTTACAGTCTATGGATGTTACCATAAGTTTAGTAGTTTTCAGCAGAGACAATACTATCGGTGATCACCTCTGGAGTAGGTGTGTCATTCTTGGTGGCTGCCATAAAAAACATGCATACATAAAATAAATAAACTTCATAAACTTTTTTTTAAAAAAAAACACAATAAAAGCAAATCTGTACGAATTTTGAACCTCTGAACAAAGTAGCAATGTCGGCAGTCAAGTCTTGTAAAGGTGCCTTTACTACGTTATTATTATTGCTCGTGTAAACTGAGCTATAGTGATTTAATCCAATGAAGTCGAAAGCGTTAGTAACCAGCTCAGATTCATGGTTAGAGAAGAACGGAAGGCGGGAACCGACAACCTTCTTAATGGTCTCTGGGTAATCTCCAAACACCAAAGGATGCAAGATCCTGCAAGTTTGGTCAGATTTTGTCATGTCAAGATTCAGTGTCAACGATGAGGATTCACGCTGTTTTGAAAAGAAAATCAAGGATAAAGTAACAGTGGTTGTCTGCAATGGTCAGTTACAAACTTGCAACCCAAAATCTGGATGTAATTTCATTCAAAAAAACTAGAAGAAAATGAATATGGAGAGTAGCATTGTCTTTTTTCTTTTCCCTATTTTACTTTACATTCGTCGGATTCTATCATCTTTTTAGTCTTAACATAACATCGTTTTGCTGTAAACAAAGAATTAACTTGAAATTTTACAGCTAAAGTAAACTTTTTTAGATAAGGGAGGAGTACATATAGTTTGTAGGTTGCTGGTAAACTGATTAAATATAGTTTTTTTCTTAAATGATGCTTATTTGGTGCCAAACCAAAAAAACATTGCATGAGTGCACCACAAAAGATAATTGCATTGGATATCCTCTCAGCTCTAAATTATTTCAAATGACAGAAACACCTTGATACTATATACCCCAGAAATAAGGTCGGACCTGGCAACAACCCACCAACGAAATTAATTTGTCAAATCTTTTATTTTTCTTGCTATTTTTCCTTTTGCAGAGTATAGAGGTTTTTTTTTTATTCTTTCTACTGTGACGCAATGAGAAATACAATACAACATGACATACCAGCCATACATGAACTGTTTTGCTCTTTCAGTGGCACCAATATCTTCAGCTGAATCTGTGAGTGGGTAGAACCACAAGGAGTACATGTTTATGCCGATAATGCCCTTCTGTGCAACCTAAAACAGTGGAAAAAAAACATAGCAACAAAATTCATTTTCTTGGCTCCATAAAAACAAGAAAGAGGACAAAACTTTCAAATGGTAATGCACACTCACTTGGTACTTCTCCCTGTAAAGTCTAACAGCTGAAGCATGAGCTAGCAGGTTATGGTGTATAAACAAGTATGGCTCAACCGTGGAATTTCCACCTGTACAATTGTTGCCAAATGGATATGAGCAATGGTTAGGAGGAAGAATTCCAGTGTCATAGCAACCTTGAGCCATGACATTTGGCTCAAGTACAGTTGTCCAATGCGCAACTCTGTCGCCGAACTCTCGGAAGCACACATCAGCATATGCTGTGAAGTCATCACTGAAACACATATGCAAAGGAAGGTAAAGCATGCGAGGATAAAAATTTCTGATGATTCTTGTCATTCTTGGTAATCTTATCAGAATGGCATGAAAGGAAATTACTGCTTAGTGCTTACACAATTTTGGGGTTAATCCACCCACCATACTCGTCTTGAAGGCTCTGAGGGAGGTCACTATGATATAGGGCAACTTGTATCTGAATACCTTCATGAATTGGGAGAAAAAAAAGGGCTAATCTCAGAGGTGCTAGTCATCATTTTTGTTAAGATCATCTCTCCTGAAATTTTGTTAATAGCTGATTATTAAAGAATGCACCTTTTCTTTCAGAATTGGGAAAGTACAGTTACCTGCTTTCACTAGTTCATTTATCATATTGTTGTAAAACTGCAACCCTTTTGGATTAACCGCTCCTCTCCCACCTTTGTCCAAAAAGAAAATAGAAAATCAAAACTTGGGTGGGGAAGCTAACAAAGAATTATGTGTGAACTGTGAAGATGACATTGTCACTAATGATCCGGTATTATGAATGGGAGATTGATAATGATGTAATTCTCATACTAGGGATAAGTCTTGACCAAGAAATTGTGAACCGATAAGCCTCTAGGCCAATCTCAGTCATTAGTTTGACATCTTCCTACAAAAGCCCCACAATGAACTGAGGTCAAAACTGAAATGAAAATTCTCATAGCATTAAAAAAAATAGCCGATCAAACTGACATTTGTTCTTGTTATCTCTAATCCAAAAATACCTTGTACTTATGATAGCCATCAGAAGCTACGTCACCTGTTCCATCTTCTGGATGCCTCCCTGATGCAGCAGATTACATGTCAAATTCATATTCTTTCTTTTTTAATAATGGAAGTAACTTAACATGGATAAATAAAAAACAAACCATGATTTTTTTTTATAAAAAAAACACATTTTCTGCATTCTTATGCGTAGCATAACATAACTTGTCATAATTTATCATGTACATCTCTGTAAAAAAACAAAACGTAGTTGAGCTATCCAGAAAAGAAATGTAGGGATGCAAACGGAGTAGGCAAGCGGGATTTTTTTTGCCCCCTTATCTCACTTCTTATTCATTTTTTCTTCTAAAATTTATACTATTATGTAAGAAATGAACAAGCAAGCATGTTTTTGTGCTTGTCCACTTGCATCCCTAAAGAAATGGATTTCACATTGTAGTCAAAGTGTTTGCCCCTCTCTGCACCGAATCCCGTGAACTGCAATCTAAGTGATTGCAATTTTGGAAATTTCCGAAATTTCGGCCCCCACCGGCAAGCACATATCTCGCCCGAGATTTTTAGTTTTTTCTAATCTTTTGTGAATTTGGTCAAATTTTATTCAAATTCATTCAAAATTCATCAAAGTATTAAAAAATTTCGGCAAAAAAAGTACCGAAATTTCGGAGATTTCGCTTCTTTCAGCCACCCCCGCCAAAAATCATAATATCGAGATTACTAACCCTGATTATACGATGGAGAAATAAAACTAGCATAGCAACGCAGCATTATCAGTGTGCTGAAAATTATCCAAGTTCCAACACAAATTGAGAGATATAGAGAGAGAGACCTGAATGTGTGTAGGTGTCCCAGATGCTCGGTGTCCTCCCATCCTCAGCAGCTGCGCCCTCATACTGCAAAATCCAAAACCAAAACCAAGTATTCAGAAACGCATGTCAAACCCTGTCCTCGCTCGTACGTTCTCTGAATCAGTCAGGAAGCAAACAACAGGTGGCTAGTAGCAAGAGCAAGACGCTCCATTGAAATTCAGAATCAGGGCAGGAAATTCAGAGAAATTCAGAATCATCTCTCCTGTACATACAGTCATACACGTATTACCTGGTAAGCCGCAGTCCCGGCTCCGAACGCGAAGCCATCGGGGAAGTCCTCTCGCCTGAACTGTAGCGAGCTTACACCTTGCAGCAGCAGCAGCAGTAGCCATGCCGAGAAGAAGAGGAGGAGATGCAGATGCAGAGGACGCCTCTCCATTGCGTTCTTTGACTTCTAGTTGTTCTTGGTCGTCGTCGTCTTCCTCTTCTAAATCTCCAAGATCGATCAGGGTAAGTACTATACTCGGTGAGGAGAACGAAAATTTGGGTCAACGGGACGATCATCACTTGGCAGGCAGATCGAATCGGGCAATAGAAAAAGACACAATTTTGTTTTACTCTCAGATGTGTTAGGTTGGGACTTGGGACGTCTTCACACAGGTATAGATGGTCTTTTTCAAGAAATTTTAGGAGCTCAGCTGATCGGTTCCTGGCTTTGCCCGCAGTCGGAAACTCGGAGCCGCAGGGAGAAAACTACGGCATTATTTGGCACAGCATCCGATCTCAGATTCACGTTTGATTTAAAGCTTTTTATATTAGATTTATTTGACGCTAGATGATATGGAGAGTTGGAGATGACCTAAATTTCATCTAAAATGGGAGCAAAGTGATTTATCCAAATTTCTTGAATCTGAGGTTGCAACGAAGAGATGCTAATTATCGAAGGGGGCACACGTTTCCAGCCCAGCAGGTCCAATTCTTCTTCTTCTTCCTCAGTCTTCTCTTTCCACTCTTTCCATTTATGATTATTATCTTTCATTTTGGCCGTGTATATTAGAGAAATATGTGGTGCAAACAAAATATGTAGTGACCATTGGATAAAAAAGGGACGCTTCAATTTATCCACATCACCAAGAGTAAATAGTTTACTCGCAAATTCAACTATAAATAAAAATTTTACCAGAAAAAATATTTACTCTTGATGATGTAGATAAATCTCAAGCGTCCATTTTTAATCCAACTATATTTTTTAGGTTTTAACAACGTACGTGGTTTCTCTACTACGTATTTTTCCGTATATATCCACGAGTGGATACAGTGGTTGAATTTCTATCCATTAATAATACTATGGCCGTGTTTAGTTCGTGTGCCAAATTTTTTCTAAGTATACGGACACATATTTGAAGTATCAAACATAGACTAATAACAAAATAAATTACAGATTCCGCCTATAAACTGCGAGACGAATCTATTAAGCCTAATTAATCTGTCATTAGCAAATGTTTACTGTAGCATCACATTATCAAATCGTGGCATAATTAGGCTTAAAAGATTTGTCTCACATTTTACGTACAAACTATGCAATTGGTGTTTTTTCGTCCAAAATTAATGCTCCATGCATATGAATTTTTAGAAGTTTGAAGGGAACTACACTGCCTATAGCTTCCTGTCGGCGGTAGTTTATGTCAAGTCATCTGAAGACAGCACAATAGCTAGATGGTACTCCCTCCGTTCAAAAAAAGGCAAACCCTGGGTTTGCGTGTCCAACTTTGACTGTCCGTCTTATATGAAATTGTGGAGATTATGGATATCCCATATCTACACGGCGATGGTATTTGGACTGAATACAGGATACCAAATATAGATAGAATATCTTATTTGTGTCTCGGGTTTGTTTCTCAACTTGTACATCAAGGAAATACCTTGAGACTTAGTCGGTTACGACTGTATTTTATCTGTATCTGCATATTCCGTTAGGGATATAGATTATCTTTTGTAACACGGACTCCTTCCCATATATAAGGGGGGTCCGGGTGCCTCTAGGGGTACACATGTTGATTTTCTCCAAATCATACAATCAATAAGACACTCGGCGGATTCATCCCCGGACAGGAGTAGGGTATTACTTCTTGAATAAGAAGGCCTGAACCTGTATAAATCCTTTGTCTCCAAACCCATACACTTCTCCAGCTTGATAGCCACCCCCTTTTTATTATTGCCGAAATCTAGTTTCGACAGTTGGCGCGCCAGGTAGGGGAGCGTCAAGCTTTTCGCCGATCAGTGCAATGGGTTCCGTCTCCGGCATCGACGACCTCGTCTTCCCACCCGGGCAGACGTTTCGGTTCGGCAGCCTCGACTTCGTCACCAACAACTTCGGCAAGATCTCTCTCCTTGACTCGGTGTCAGACCAGTCGGGAGAGAACCGGATTTCAGTCCCGTTTGGACTCCCAAACGCGGCTGAAAGTTACTTCAAGACCATCTCAATCGAGTTGGCTTCAAACCACTCGGGTGAGATCGCATCTTCTCCCACGTCACCAGATCAAGATGATGGGGCTTACCCACCGATCCTGATGAAGCTCCCCGACGATTTGGCGGCCGTCTCCATCACGACAGCGTCTCCATCCCGTAGGCCTAGGCAGAAGTCGGCTTCAACACCGATTTCGCCTAGCTTCAGGGAAGTCGGCGTCATCCTTCAACCACTCCGACTGGCAGCCGAGTCCCCCACTTCCGATCTCATGACTACCGTCATCCAAGCCTCAGCATCACCGGCGCAGGATCCAATCGCAGGAGCAGGGGTCACGACGAGCGGTCCGTTCACTCACCTCCCGACCATCATAGGGAGCGCCGAGTGGAACGGCCTCGCTCACCACCTCGTCGCCGCCCCGTCGATCTTCGCGACACAATCATACAGCGCCGAGCAGCTCGAGGCCATCATCATTCGCCGGACCGCCACGACGACGACCTTGACGGAGTAGCAGCCTTCACCGACGACCTGCGTCGAGTGGATTGGCCAGCCGGCTTCAAGCCGACTGGAATAGAGAAGTACGACGGTACCACTAACCCAGAATCGTGGCTTACCGTCTACGGTCTCGCAATCCGCGCAGCAGGAGGAGACAGCAAGGCCATGGCGAACTATTTACCAGTGGCTTTAGCGGATTCCGCCCGATCTTGGCTCCATGGATTGCCCCGTGGTACAATTAGATCTTGGGCCGAATTACGCGACCACTTCATCGCCAACTTCCAAGGCACCTTCGAGCGTCCCGGCACACAATACGACCTCTACAACGTTATTCAGAAGTCCGGAGAATCCCTTCGAGATTACATCCGGCGATTTTCTGAACAACGTAACAAGATCTCCGACATCACCGACGACGTTATCATCGCCGCATTCACCAAAGGGATTCGCCACGAAGAATTGGTCGGCAAGTTCGGGCGTAAGCCTCCCAGGACAGTCAAGCTTATGTTTGAAAAAGCCAACGAGTACGCCAAAGCTGAAGACGCCGTCACCGCATCAAAGCAGTCGGGTCCTAGTTGGAAGCCAAACAAGGGTACGCCGGCTACGGGAGGAGGTGGAAGTAACAACCATAAGGACCGCAAGCGTAAGCCTGAGGAACTTGTTGCAACCGCCACTCACTCTTCTCGACAGCGTTCGCGCGTCAACACGTTCGACAAGATCATGAACTCCCAATGCCCGCACCATCCTAACTCCAACCACGTGGCCAAAGATTGTTTCGTCTACAAGCAGTTTGCGGAGCAATACACCAAGACTACACGGAAGAACTCCGACGAAGAACAAAGTACGTCGAGGAAGAAGGACGACGGCGACACCCCGGCAGGATTTCAAGACCACCGCAAGGAGCTCAACCATATCTTCGGCGGCCCCCTGGCTTATGAGTCTAAAAGGAAGCAAAAATTGACTGAACGGGAGATCAATGCTGTTCAGCCCGACACGCCCCAGTATCTTCGATGGTCAGAAATTGCAATCAAGTTTGACCGCTCGGATCATCCTGACCGAGTGGTCCACCCGGGGCGGTACCCCCTGGTACTAGACCCAGTGGTCCGTAATGTCAAGCTTCGCAGAACCCTCATCGACGGCGGCAGTGCACTCAATATCCTCTTCGCCAAGACCTTGGATGATATGCAGATTCCTCGCTCCGAGCTAAAACCAAGCAATGCGCCTTTTCACGGAGTAATTCCAGGATTATCCGCAACTCCACTCGGCCAGATCACCCTCCCGGTCACCTTTGGCACTCGGGAAAACTTCCGCACAGAGAATATCAGCTTTGAAGTCGCCGATTTCGAGACAGCATACCATGCCATACTCGGACGCCCGGCGTTAGCCAAGTTTATGGCCGTCCCGCACTACACTTACATGATGATGAAGATGCCTGGTCCCCGAAGAGTCCTATCCCTACGGAGCGACATCAAGCAAGCCGTCACATGCGACAAGGAGAGTTGCGACATGGCTCAAACCCGCGAGATGGCGTCAGCCCGAGAGGATATCCGACTGGCTGTAGCCACGGCGAGCGAAGGAGAAGTGCCCGCTACCAAGATTTCAAAAAGTGGAGAAAGCGAAGCCAAGACTAAAAAGATTCCCCTAGATCCTTCTGATTCTACTAAAACTGCTGTAATAGGCGCCGAGTTAGATTGTAAATAGGAAAGCGCGCTCATCACCTTTCTTCAGAACAATAAAGATATCTTTGCGTGGAAACCATCTGATATGCCCGGTATTCCTAGAGAGGTGATTGAGCACTCCTTACATGTCAAAGAAGATGCCAAGCCTATCAAACAACGACTCCGCCGATTCGTACAAGACAGGAAAGACGCGATCAAGGAGGAATTAACCAAGCTGTTAGCGGCAGGCTTCATTAAAGAAGTCCTTCATCCCGACTGGCTGGCAAACCCGGTTCTAGTTCGGAAGAAAACGGGGCAATGGCGCATGTGTGTTGATTATACTGACCTCAACAAATGTTGCCCTAAAGATCCTTTTGGGTTGCCTCGCATTGACCAGGTAGTCGACTCGACCGCCGGCTGTGAGCTTCTCAGTTTTTTGGATTGCTACTCGGGGTATCATCAGATCCGACTGAAGGAATCCGACTGCTTGAAGACTTCATTCATCACGCCCATTGGAGCATACTGCTACGTCACCATGCCGTTCGGACTAAAAAACGCAGGAGCAACTTATCAACGTATGATCCAGAGATGCTTCTCAACGCAGATCGGCCGCAACGTTGAAGCCTATGTGGATGATGTAGTTATCAAGACCAAGCAAAAGGATGATTTGATCTCGGATCTAGAAGAAACCTTCGCGAGCATCCGCGCTTTCAGGATGAAATTAAACCCTGAAAAGTGCACCTTCGGAGTACCGTCAGGGAAGCTGCTTGGTTTTATGGTGTCTCACAGGGGCATCCAAGCCAACCCGGAGAAAGTTACTGCTATCCTCAACATGAAACCGCCAAGTACCCAGAAAGATGTTCAGAAGCTGACTGGATGCATGGCGGCGCTCAGCCGATTTGTTTCAAGACTTGGCGAGCGGGGGATGCCCTTCTTTAAGCTACTGAAGAAAACAGATGATTTCCAGTGGGGACCCGAAGCACAGAAGGCCTTCGAAGATTTCAAGAAATTCCTCACCGAGCCACCAGTCTTAGCTTCACCACATCCGCAGGAGCCGTTGTTGCTGTATGTATCAGCCACCTCCCAGGTTGTGAGCACAGTCTTGGTCGTTGAGCGCGAGGAAGAAGGCCATGTCCAGAAAGTCCAGCGACCGATTTACTTTGTCAGCGAGGTCCTAGCCGACTCTAAAACGAGGTACCCTCAGGTTCAGAAGCTGTTATATGGTATTCTAATTACTACCAGGAAGCTATCTCACTACTTTCAAGGTCACTCGGTAACGGTGGTCACATCATTTCCACTCGGTGATATACTGCACAACCGCGAAGCAAACGGACGGATTGCTAAGT